ACTTCAGTTTGGCTGGTGGAGCTGAGATGCATAGCTGATTGCTACTCCCAAGATTCTTTTTCTTGTACTCCTGGCAGATTTCTTCTGTCCAGTCTTATTAAAATATGGATTACTGGGGCTGGAGAGATGGCTCAGGGGTTAAGGGTACTGACTGTACTCTTGCAGAGGACCAGACTTCCATTCCTAGCACCTACATGGTGGGTGGCTAACTACTGTCTGTAACTCCAGTTCTTGGGGATCTAATGCCCTCTTTTGGCCTCGGTACACCCCTTGTGCAATGCAGGCAATACACTCCTACACATAAAATAAATAAAAGATAATAAAATATTTTAAAATATGGATTATTTCTATGGCTGCTTTAATGATTATCTGTGACAAACTGTGTAACAGTTTACCAGGCTCAAATAACCTAAATCAAAGAGGGTCTTTCTTTATCTATCTTAGTGGGTTTTGTACTTTCAAATCTTTTGAATTCAAAAGCAAAAAAATGAAGGCATAGCTTTTTGACCTGGTCCATTTAATTCTTAGTCATTGTTATGCTGATACTCTTGTCATAGTAACCTATGGGTGAAGTGTTCTTTATATCAGAAAAAAAATCAGCCTCTGAGAAGTTAGCTGTATATTCAGAGTCACACAGTAACTTTCAGAATTGGAATTCTGATTATCAAGCATTATATGTCTGTGCTGGTGGTAGAGAGGAAGGGCTTCATAATTACATGGGAACTTACTGAAGATAACGGTCCAATTCCATCTCTTGTCCCCAAATAATGCATTGTTATAGAACTGTTGGTACTAACAGCTGCTTCTTAAATGTGACTAGGTTATGACTTGGTTTTATATATATATATATATATATAGACACTGTGTTGGAGCACACCCATCAGCCAGTGACTTGCTTTTGCTACTCAGATTTTGTTTGTTCCTTTACACAAACTGATGACACATGTTGTTTTCAAAGGGTTTGGGAAAAATGCTATTAGTTGCTGTTGGTGCCACCTTTGTTTTTGTTTTTGAGACAAGGTCTCCACTCTGTGATGCAGGCTGGCCTGGAGCTCACTGTGTAGCCCAGATGGGCCTTGAACTTGCAGTAGTTTTGCCCCATCCTCCTGGGTACTGATATTACAGGTGTGAGCCTTGATGGCTTTACTGTTAGCACCAATTTAAACCATCTAACTTATGGCTGTAATTTAAAGAGTTAATTGTTGAACTATAATTGGTATCATAGAGACAGGAGTTTGTAGCTTGGAGGACATCAGCAATGAGATTTCCTGACTTTGGTGTGAATCACAGTCTTTATGAGATTTTCCTGTTCATAGTCAGCTATTTGGTTAAGATTGACTTTTTTCTCCCCGGTAGTCAACAAGCTTGTGGTCCAGGGTACCATCCAGGGGCAATAATCTAGGTGAAAAGTGAAAATGGAGAAAACTGTCGGTTAGGTGTTTGAAGCTAGAGCATATGGGAACAGCTCGGAGCTAGAATAGGTTGTCACTGGTAACTGATAACTGGGGCTTCTAAAGATGTCGGTATTTGGAGACTGAACATGTAAGATCACTTTCCCTTGCCTGAGTTCTGAACTGATTGTTAAGTAAAGCAAGAAGCAACAGATGAAGATGAAAGATACAATACCTTTTGAAAATTATTTTTTTTTCAGATAAAATTCACATACCAAAGAGTATAAATGCATTGCTTTTATAGTATATTCACAAGATTGTATAGCCATCATCCCTGTCAGTCAGAATATTCTCATCACTCCTAAAAGAAACCTCAACAGACACTCCTCATCTCTTGTCCTCCATACCTCCTCTCCTGGAAACAAGGTTGCCATCTGCTATCCCACTCCTTGAATTTGGCTATTCTTAACCTTTCATGTAAATGGAATCATGTAATGTGTGGCCTTTTGTACAGATCTTCACTTGGCATAAGGCTTTCAAGGTTCATCTATGTTGTAATACATAAAAGATAACATTCTTTTTTTTTGATGGTAGACTAATCTGTTATGTTGTCGTGTTGATACTATATATTACATTTTGTTTGCCCATTTGTCAGCTAATAGTCATTTGTATTATTTCCACTTTTATTATGAATAGTCAAATGCTATAAACATTTATGTAGGGTTTTTATAAGAACATTCTCTTGGAAATACATGTGTCTACAAATTTTGAGAGTGTGCACATGTTTTTCTGGGGATTGCACCTAGGGCCTTGTGCTTGCTAGGCCACTGCCACTGAAATGTATTTTCAATCTTCCTTTTTTTTTTTTCTTTTTTTTTTTTTTTAAAAAAATAAAGTTGCTGTTGTAGAATATCTTAGATTTAAAAGTGAGTTGACTGGAACTGGAGAGATGGCTCTGTGGTTAAGAGCACTGACTGCTCTTGCAGAGGTCCCATATTTGATTCCCAGCACCCACATCGTGGCTAACAACCATCCCTAACTCCAGTTCCGGGGTACTCCGATGCCCTCTTCTGACCTTTGTAGGCATCACATGATACAGGTGCACTTATATATACGCAGGCAATACACTCATACCCAAATAAAAATAAACGAAAATTTAAAAAGTGACTTGACTGTCTCTTCACAGCCCTTCATCCCCACTTGCCCATGGCTCAGCCTACCCTAGAGAATGTTTGGGTTAACAGAGCAAATGTACCCTGATTACTGCCTTATAGAGTTCTGGATGGAGAGGGAAGAAAAAGAGAATAAATCCTAGATCTTAAATCTTTTGTTAAGTCAGTTCTACCCACCTCCCAAGTTAACTCTTTGGAGATGAGTTGACCAAGAGTGTTTAGATAAGGTGTACTTCATAGAAACCCAGTTTGAAAGAAATGCTTTGTTCTGACAAAGAGAAAGTGATAAGCTAGAAACCAGAAAGCCATTTTTAGATGAAAAGACTGTGCCCAAGAAAGGAGTATTTTAAAGAAAGGGTGAATTCACTTTTAGAAATGGTGAGTTTAGGACTTCTAGGAGGCAATGCTAGTTATACATGTTTAGAGATTAGGAAGTAGCATATAGGCATTTAAAATATAACCCTGGAAAACCTACCCATAAAATAAAATAGAGAAAGGTAATTCTTAAATCTGAACTCTGGTTTTGATTATGATGATGTTTCTGCTTTATCTTACTATGGGTGGCTTGCTTTTGGATGTTGTGAGTTCCGATTGTGAATTCACATACTCACATTCACTTATTTTGGAACCCTACTTGAAGGAATTTTTCCAGACCTAGAATCAAAAGTGAGGTCCTCCTATTTCCTACAGTTACTTCAAGCAAAATTCTAGGTATGAAGCTTTAAAAATCATAATCTAGGAGAGAGTTTGCTTGTGAATTTTGAGGGAGACACTTCACTGCCATGCTGGCCCCAGCCCCTTGCCAGGACTGTACTTAGTGCCAAGCATTAGAAAGCCATTTTCCTTGCATTTCTCTTGGGTAAGACCTTTGCTTTGGGTAAGCTTTGCTTCTTGCAGGGTTTCAGAGAGCTGGGCAGAATGTCTAAGGGAAGCTGCTGTCAAGCACTCTGCATCCCTCTCTAATGTCCTCCTTTTACCTGGTTTTAGTTTCATCTTATTTCTTAACTAAGCTTTTGATCTTTTATAATGAATTTTAAATATGTGGCCAGTGTTTTAATTATTTTCAGTGGATATGGTGATCAGGCCATCCATCTTGTCATTCTGGCAGAAATAGAAGTGCCTGTCTCTCCTTAGTGTATGCAGGGACAGTTAGCTCCTGAAGACTCATTTGGTTTCTGAATCAAAGGTTATAACTTAGAGCAAATCTAATGTTTTGTTTGGCCCTTGTAGTTTTTAGAAAATAAGAATCAGACTGCAAATAAAATTTTGGATTTCTTTCGAAAAATTGGAAGTCCTTATAATTCTGTGTCTAAACACTGTCTAGCAACATTTGGCTAGAACTGGGAGTAACAGCTGATCCCTTCAGAATGAACATGCTTTCTTGTTTTAAAAAATATTTATTATTGTTTTTATTTTATGTGTATGAGTGTATTGCCTGCAAGTGTGTTAAGTGCACCTGTGTCATGCAGTGCTCATGGAGGTCAGAAGAGGGCATCAGATCCCCTGGAACTGGAGTTATGGATGGTTATTAGCCACCATATGGGTGCTGGGAATCGAACCTGGGTCCTCTGCAAGAGAAGCCAGTGCTCTTAACCACTAAGCCATCTCTCCTGCCTGAACATGCTTTCTTTAGCTCCTCATAGTCTCTACCACGTGTGCAGTGTACACACATAAGTATATTTAGACCTCTTCTAATCTTTTTATATTTTTACTGTAGGCACTTGTGAATTATCTTCGTACCCAGTAAAAATATTGGCACTTTGCCATTGTTGGGCAATAAGACCAGTTGACACTGTTTATATTTGTTCATTTATTACTTATAAACAACAAATCTGTAGTAGTTAGTACAGAAACTTACATACATGGTAGTATCTCCATGTTTCAATGAAGAAAATAAGTTTTCGTGAGGTTATATAAATTCTTCAGGGTCTCAGTAGTGTGACAGAATTTGAATTACTCAAATCTACTCTTACTCAAATGCTGCTTCTAAACCTTTTCTTTTTAAAGCAATGGAACTACTTCTTCAGATGAAACTTTAGTGAAACTGTATAAAATCAGTAAAGACAGCAGTGTTTTTGTCTGAGACTAGTGTGTGAGGGTGATGATGTGGGAGCAGCTGCCTGCATGCTTGGTGCTTTTAGGCACCTGGCTGGACTGCCTAGGATCCTACCAGATTTGGTATACTCTGTGTCCTAAGCACAATCATTTGTTAGGTTTTATGGGAGGCTTCACTGTCTTTGGTTGGGTGTCAGTTACAGTGCTTGTTTCTCTTACATGGTGTGTCTTTGCTACTGTACTTTTCATTCACCTGTGTTTTGAAAATGTGATTTATTTAGCTTTCTATTTCTCTTTTCAGTGTTTTAATTAGAATTGTAGTTGGGTTTATAGTTTTATTTACTTCGACACATCTATTAATTAATTCTTTCTTACTTTTTAGATTCTCTTTGTGGCCAGATGGGTTTGTATGGACAAACTTGTCCATCTGTAACTTTGTTAAGGTGAGTGCTCTTTTTTTCTCTTGATTGGAACATCTAACATTTGGTATGTTACATTGATCATCTCATATGACAGTGCAAAACATGAGGTTCAGAGTAATGTTTTTTGTTTGTAAAGTAAATATAGTTTTGTTATAGAATAATGTCACTCTTAGATTTCCCCAGTTAAGGTACAGTAAATCATCTTTGCTTTGGAAAAAAACACTGCAGTTGGTTTTGTCTAGTAGAGCAGTTCTGTGGAACGGAGTGTTGATGCTTATGAGACTTTTGAGGTAAAGGGATTTAGATCTGCTTTTAATCTCAGATAATTTTGAACATGAACCAATATAACTTCATACTTTTTTTTGTTGTTTCTTAAAAATCCAATCTGCTTTCTACTTGGTTTAGTTAA